TGTGTCACGCTGGAAGTATCAAGCCCAGGGACGTTTGAGCACTATCACGTTACGCAGTGGCAGAACCCGACGTTGTTACCTCACAGTGCCGGTTCTGACTGGAAAGTTTCTGGGCTCTGACGGGACAGTGTCTGGTTCGGGCCGGACAGTGTTTGGCGCGGGTCATGAGTCTCTGGCTCAGATCGGGCAGTCTCTGGGTTCTGACCGGACAGTGTCTGGTTCGGGCCGGACAGTGTCTAGCTCGGACCGGATAGTGTTTGCTTTGAATCGGACAGTCAGGAGTGAAAAAGTGTCTTTTCTGTCACCGACGAAATTTGGAGCCTTCTGAACTGTCACCTGGGGGTAGATCTTTCAGAAACCGTTGCAATATAACTTTACATGCGATAAATCACAAAACGCAGATAAAGTTAATGCGATTCGGCAGAGCCACAGAACATTTTCGTTTCGGTAATTCATTTGCACTTAAGTATTAGTTGCTGGCCATCAAACACTGGGTGCTGGTTCAGATGAAATTAATACAAGTATCAGATGAAGGCACACGTGACATGACCAGCCTAGAGGCATGTAGTTTGCTATTTAGTTAGAGGAAGGGATGGTGCCTCCTAACCGGGTATGCCATTGGCTGTTTTATAAATTAATTTTTAACCATTACTTTCCAAAAATCATGATTTTTAGACTTAAGCCACAAGAACTAATTTTGAGAAACTGCACCCTTGATCCCAACGACGAAAAGAAAGCGCGTCAAATCTGGGCTTACGACTGTTTTAAGTTCATTTCAGAGGCGCGCTGAGCCATTTTTTCTCTCTGCACCCCCCCCCCTCAACTCTCAATCCTTTACCCCTTCCGTATTTTTTAAAACTGTATCCCTGTAGCGCTACATTTACCGATAGCATGGTTCTAGAAACATCTGCCAACATCAATTTAAATTTTGTTACGCCATCATAAAATCAGCTGGAAACGTTGACGACCTTCACTATCTTCTCATAACCATTGCCGGTGCAGAACTCGCAGTTCCTAGCGTGATCTCAATTATTTAGAGCAAAACCCATGCAATATTGGTATCAACAGATGCAACTGACATTTTTGAGCACCTCTGGCGCCTTCATTTGGCTTTATAGGCAATATGATGAAGATAAAAAGCGTTTTATCTCACGCTTGCCCGCCGATCAGTACGCTAAGTCTGTGGCGCCACAGGCAATGTGAGAGGCCTACACCAGCGATGCCCGGCCTTTACTTCAAAACCGCTGTTCCTCACAGCAGCAGGAAAGCCCTGGATGAATCCTTGACATGTGTCGCTTCAATGTCCTCTGTTGGCCTCTGACGCTACAGCTTCGATATCCATAAACAATAATATTCTTAGACCGACTGGGCTTTTTAGCGCTCCGCATAAAAAACTGACAATTAGATACGTTTTTCTAGCCAGTCAGCTACTCACGACATGAACACGACCATCAGCAGCCCATAGCTTTGCTCTGAACCCAACGCATTACCACGCGACAAGCGTTCGAGCCCATCTGTCCGAAATGGCACGACGCTTTAAAACGCTGCGTAGCAAACTGATCATGTTCGCCGCAAGATGCTGTGGCCAGACACGATTCTTACGACTAGCAATAAGCCTAGTTATTTCATATTTTATGCTGTTGAGTATGGGAAGTGAATCCTGGCTGAAAATTCTGTGAAAAGCACTGATCTGAGGAGTGTTGGAAAAGCACTGTCACCACTGATTTTTGACGTCAGCACAGAGTTCTTGTCATCGAGCATATCTGGTAAATCAGCAGTTCTTTTCACGCTTGCGGACAGCTCCTGGTTTAGACGGAACAGTGTCTGGTTCGGACCGGACAATATTTGGCCCGGACCGAACAATGTCTGGTTCGGACCGAACAGCATGTGGCTCGGACTGGACTGTCTGGTTGTAGTTGCTAGTGTTCAGCGGGGTTTGATCGGACAGCAACAAGCAAAACACAATATTCGTATCCACTGATGCCGAGACTTTGACTAAGAGCCACGTCCTCGGTGGGAAGCTTCTGGTTTCGACCGATAAGGGCGCTCGCCAATACAGTCACGTTGCCGGTGAGCCCAGCTCGGCGTTGGCCGCCTGCATGCCTCTGGCTGATGACAGTAGAGCTAAAGTTGACTTTGTCCTGGCCGAGAGAGCGCCGTGTATGCCGCATGATCGGGCGCCGAATGTTGCCGTGCTGGTCACGACGTGGAAGTAGCCTGCAGGGGTGGTGACAGGCGCGGAGGGTCTCAGCAGCCACCGGCGCGACGGCCCCCGACCCACCGGGCTCCCGCGGGGCAAAGTCTGGACGGCTACCGACACGACGGCCCCCGACCCACCCGGCTCCGGCGGGGGAGGGCCTCAGCCACCCCTACCCACCCTTCACCGACACTCAGCAATCGGCGCTCTGGTATGTGAAGTGCAACTAGAGGTTCGCAAAATGTTACAAAGATGACGTCACCATCCTCTCAGCCGTGAGCCCCCTGGGTAGGTGTGGAGCGTTCCTTGCCCATGCCCATCCTGCTTTCGGACTTGACAGCGCCTTGTTTTGTAATTACATAGATGCGCGTCTCTATGGAACGCAAAGCAGATCATATCGTGAACACCTGAACACCCCACAGCCATATAGAAGTTACAAAATATCATAAACGAAGGTCAATGACCGACGTACCGCGGAGCCAGCCGAACATGGATATGGAAGCACGAAAAAAACATTGCTAGTTTCTGCATATGAGACCAGGATCATTGCTGTGATCCTGTGCTTGTGCATGTTGTACCCACTGATTGTCCTAAGACTCGTTAAACTTGTATTTAGCGCTTCATTCCGGCTATGGAAACTCACCTGAACCATCCACTTACATGACCTATGTGTGTGCCTATATTTGCCCAAAGTACCTATACTTAGTCTGAAAGTAAATGCCAGTCTCATAAGTGAAAGAAGTTGTCAAATACGGTCAGCGCGAAGGAGGAAAGTATCAAACTGTGTGCATACTGCGTGTCCCTCAGAAAAACACACACGCATGATTGAACTACGCGCGTGTTAGCATGAGCGCCTCATTGCTACATCACCATAAAATTTCGGCTATGCCTCAACGCAACCAGATGAACATCTGTCCACATATGTTGTCCGGGAATGAGTGCACACGGTCGCTCCCACGCGGCTCAAAGGTGTCGTCGTCTTCTTCCATGTCCTATTGCACCGATCACAGCCGTTCGAAATCAGACCTACAGCAGGCCTCATGTACTGAGCCTAGTGCAACTACATCCACAAGTTTGCCTGATCGTATTCCCCACAAACAGCGCTGGTCCGGGGAGTGTGTGCTGAGTGAGCAGAGAATGAGAGTGGAGAGCGCTGGTCCGGGAGAGTGGCCCCTTTTGACAGTCTGACCTTCACCTCACCAGCGGGACTGTCACAGCGGGAGAGGGGCCGTCACGCTGGTAATGGAACCACCCCAGCGGTAATGGAACCACCCCAGCGGTAATGGAACCAGCGCAGAAGTAGTGGAACCAGCGCAGAGGTAACGGAACCACCGCAGAGGTAATGGAATCAGCGCAGGGGTAATGATACCAGCACAGAGGTAATGGAACCAGCACATAGGTAATGGAACCACCGCAGAGGTAATGGAGCCGGTGCACAGGTAATGAAACTAGCACAGAAGTAATGTTACCAATGCAGAGATAATGGAACCAACGCAGAGGTAATGGAGCCACCCCAGAGGTAATGGAGCCAGCGCGTAGGTAATGAAACCACCATAAGGGTAATAGGACGGTCACATATATAATGGGGTCATCTTATCGGTGGTGGGACCGGTCTGGTGGTAATGTGATTCATTGACGGACCCATAAGGCAGGGGGCACTCCGCCCATGGCCTCCAAACGCTCAGCAGGCGGGACATCATGTCTTCAAACGACATCATGTCCCAAAGGTTTTTGAAAGTTGTCATTAATGGGTTATTTTATGAAACGCTGAAATCGTCCAAAGCAAACACAACAAACCACAGGGCAGGGAGATATACTATGTTTTATCATTAGTTGCACATTAATCTGCAAGTACTTGAGCTGCTTCTCTAAACGTGGTGCCAAGCGCTCTTGTGGGTGCAGCTGTTCCTTCGAAAAACAAAATTTTCACGGGACAGATTGTCGCGTGGACTCGCGCCTGAAAGCGATGGGGTTCAGGCCGGTCTGATCGTACGGGGGGGGGGGGGGAGGGTGTACTGTGGCGTAGATAAAGATACAGGCGACATACGCAGAGTTCTGCGAGAAAAGAAAGCGAAATAAGGATGATTTTTGAAATAGGACGATCGAACCCTTGGAAACAAACATGAAAGGCAGTTCAGTTTTTAAGTCATTATATGATATGCTGGAAGGCTTCGCCTAGGATCGCCAGCACAATATATGCGCTGCATTCAAGAATTTGGCTCAGCCAAGAATATATATCCATAAGTGCTGGTGTTATAAGTGCTGGTGTCATAAGTCGTCGAGGGCAGCCCAGTCCGGCCCAGCAGCAGCCCAGCCCAGCCCAACCCAGTCCATTCCGAATTGTTCACGCGTTCTCACATATTACTATGAGATGCCCGGGCCTGTGGAAAAGTCAGCCATGCCGCAATCTCCTGAGGTTACTTTTTGGTCTATTTTATCTCAATGTTTGTAAAAATTTCACCGGAAGCCATGAAACAAAATACTCTGGGGGCAATTACAAGACAGCTCGCAAACCGATTTGCTCTATCCACAAACCAGAATGGCTGGATGTGTCAGTGGCATACATTGAGTTTAAACCGAATTGCATTGCTATGTTGGCCTAGCATAAATTGCACCAAAGCTCCGGAGGTTTTCGAAAGCTTTTTGATGTGTCCACCTGTTTTGGGACCGCAAAGCAGAGCTATCCAAACCCGAGAAGAAATCTGACCTTGCAGGCAGGTTAAGTCACAAGGCAAAAGCCATTTCGCCAAACGGAGCCAGTGACAAGAAGGCCGCCGCGGTAATAGGTCGGCGACAGCGGTGGCAAGGCGCCGCAGGAGCAGGGGTGGGTTCGTCCCGACAAGCACGCGCTGCCAGTCCCGGCTGTTACATGTTGTTACCGTTTCTCACGTTTCCTCACGCCTTAAACGGCATTGGTGGGGGTAAATATCAGCACTATATCAGAGGCACATCAGAGCCCCAAATGGTTACGGTCGTCGGCGTTGCGTTGCCCTTCGGGTGTCCACGCTCTGCACCCGTACGTCAGCCGCGCAGCCTCCTCTCACGGCTCGCACAGCCTGCAGTGCTGCCCCTGGCGGTCGGCGACGGAAGCTGGCCGTCAGCGAATCGATTTGCGCGTGCGACTCGGCGCCTCGGAGGACGGGAAGGCGGGCGTGAGATCGGGGCGGGCGGCGGCGGGGAGCCCGAGCCGGAGTCGGACGTGCAGCGCCCGAGGCGGAGCCGGCGCGCGCCCGTGACGGCCGGGAGCCGGGAGCGGTCTCACTCGGGCGGACAGGGCGGGGCGGACCGACCGTGCCGGACGTCCGGGAGCAGTCTGTGCAGGGGTCCGCTTGGGAGCTGGTCCTGCAATCGCCCCGCGATCGTTCGACCAAGGCTCGGAGCGATACTAAGCCAGGCTGCTGCAGATCGGAGCCTCTTAAAGCTGCCTCGGGAACAAGTGAGTTTGGCTGCGCTCGTGACGTGTGCATGATTTTGCTGTCGCTTTTCGGTAAGCGTGTTGCCGTTTTCAGCAGCTCATGCTTCGGAATCACGTCTAAGTCTCGTCCCATTTCGCTTTGTTTGTGGAGTTGAACGCGATTACTTGGCCCGATCGCCGCGACTGCAAACGCTGCTGGTGTGGGTTGACGTGTGGGCTCACCTGTGTGTTGACGTGTGGATACACCTGTTTGTTTACATGTGGGTTCACCTGTTAGCGCCGTGGCTGCGGCACAGTGCAGCTAAGACGTCTTCGGCGCCGCAGATACAGGCGCAGATAATGTGATGCGGGATGTGGCACTGGCGACACCAGCTGCAAAGTTGGGGTGGCACTGCGGCCAGCAATCTCAGTCTCATCTATCTCATCAATCTCACCTCATCATCAGCAAGTCTAATCTCAACCGGTATATCCCAACCTTTTCTTAACTTCGCCGGGCGGGGAATGCCGGGGCTAGGAGAGCCACGCCAAGTTTTGGGTTAAGGAATGCAGATTTAAACTAACGATCTGGGAACCGGGAGACGTGGCAGAGCGCGATGCTTTACCGTGACCGAAGGCTTTTCCACCGGGCATCCATCCGTGAGCTAACACGCACCACGAGTAGTGAGACGTCATGACGTCACGTCATTCTCCCATCAGACGTCACGTCATTCTCCCCAGCAAAGCGCGCTCCTGTGATACTAGTACGTGGGATAGAAACCATTCTGTGTACGAATTCATAAAAATGTTTTGAAAGAAGGTCATTCAAATAGTCTCATAGTCGAAGCCGCAGAACGCACAGGGGGCTTTCTTCATCCCGACCGGCAAGGATCTGGTCAGCTGACGGTACACCTCGATCACCCAAAATACCTCCCGTTTTTCGGGTCTCTGTCTCTTCTGTTTTCTTCTGATCTAACTCTCCTGTGTTGTAGTCCTGCGTCCAAATCTCACGAAAGCTTCAGGGTTCCTGAGTCGTGACGAAATCCAGGTTCACCGCTCTGCCTTATGTCCTGAGAAGTCAAAACATTCCAAAAATGATGTCAGGTTACTTAAAATTCACCTCTTGCCGTGCCCGCTAGGGAAGTAATGTTCATCACGCATGAGATATCGATAGTGTTCGACCGATGGTCCCCTGGTCAGACACTTGTCCGGGCCTCCCCTGCACGCCGATCGGTCCCCGACTTTCCTGGAGGCCCACGACCAATGCCGGCACTCTTGGCTGCATCTTGCCCCTTTCACAACGTCGATGCCCCCAGGCGTCTCGAGATCTTCAAAGTTTTTTTGACCACCGAGGAGCTCTGCCAATTTGGAGACTCCTGAAAGACGTCTCCAAATGTTTCCTGCCCACTTGACCATACCTCTGCCCTACTGACCGGCTTAGATCCCGCTACCGTGTCGATGATGCCGATTCTCCCAACGCCTTTGGTAAAGAGCACGCGCTCTGCCTTTTCAGCACCTAGATGTAAAGGAGTCAACTGGCTGCTTAAACACGCGCCCGGGTGGCTGGATGAATACCCCTTGCTCGGATGAGGGTGGGGTTCAATTTGACCCCGCTGAGATCTCAGAAATTTAGAAAGCTAGAGACACCAAATTCGCAGGGTGTGTTGATCTGTATGCGTACTCACTCGTGTCACAATTTGAGGTTTCTAGGTCATGATCTTCGGGTTTAAAAGGTCAAACAAAGTTAACCCTTAGGCTCCTGTCCAAAGTGGTCTTAGAACTTAAGTACCTATTCTAAGCAAAGGGCCGTTGGTGCTTATTTAAGGTAAGTGACCTTGTTTGACCCTTTGCAGGTCACGGCAACCAAAATCATACGAGCTGCTTTGATTTTTGCATTTTAATAGAGGTCAAGGATTTCGCTAGGCAGCATGTTTCTAGACACAAAATGTTGAGCAAGGTCATTTTCTGTCAGTGACCTACGGTGGCCTTTAAGGCGTCAATGATGGATGTATGATGTGGTTCCTGTTATCAATAAACTCGAAATGAGCGCCACGAACTATCCCGTACTGGAAGTTCTGTAGTTAAAAACGGGTTGGTTTTCGCCTTTATTCCTGACCTCAGGCCAATGGAATTTGTAAATTTAATTGTTGCGTTATCTAAGAGACTACCTCAGAAACGTATGCTTCGTCTAACACTACGTTGCTGCATCAGATTGAACGATTCCCCCAAAAATGTATTTGCCGAACCCATGGCCTAAATTAGACCTGTCGTAGGTCTACCTTGCTTTTTTGTTTGTTGATTTTTGCATACTTTGCCAGCTGCATCTAAACTTTTTATACCAAAGATCCGCTATTACAATGTCTACAGTTATGCAAGAACTGGCACGGCTACACCACGTCGTTCCGAAACCATGTCGGGGAAGCCTTCGGGGAGGCGGTCAATTGGCCCCCGCCCACCCGGGCGCGAGATAAGAGTAGGGGACCAGGGCCCCTTGAAGATTCACGTGACAAGCGAAAACTAGTCAGGTGACACCTGGAGAAGAGTAGCATGACACCTGGAGAAGAGTCAGATGACACCTGTGGAAGAGTAAGATGGCACCTGGAGAAGAGTCAGATGACACCTGTGGAAGAGTAACATGACACCTGGAGAAGAGTCAGATGACACCTGTAGAAGAGTAAGATGGCACCTGGAGAAGAGTCAGATGACACCTGTAGAAGCGTAGGATGACATCTGGTTACCAGGCGGGTTTGTCCGCGGGGTCCAGTCAGTCAGCTGGAATTTCGGCGCAGCAGCAGGCTTGGCACAACGAACTATACTGGGGTGTAGGGTGTGGGTCTCAACTTCAGTGTTGGGTTGTTTACTGTGATGCAGGCAAGCCACTACGATCAGATTGCGTCAACATACAAAGATTTGACTGATGAAGGGCTGCATGGGGATATGTACTTAACATGGAAATAAGTCGGCATTAGCAGTGGATTACAGCTGCCTACTGGCACGAGCCTGGTGCTGAGGGCATCTCACGTTGACCCTGCTTGGCAGCCAGTTCCTGGTGGACAGCCAATGGTTGGCTTCAGCAAATTAGGACGAGCATTTGGGGGACAGCTCTTCTTTATAGCCGGAGATTCTGTTTACCCTGGGCTAACGACAACAAACAATACTTCTAGCAGCCACACCTTCGATAGGCGCACTCTGGCGCGATTTCCAGACGTGGAACTGAATGAGCGATGACGATTTCGATGCCTCCATAGACCTTTGATAACTTGACACCCTTTTTTAAGGACGCACCTCAGGATAGCAGCCTTTATAACTCCATCATGAGATTATTATTCACATGGCAAGTTCACCAGTGCTCTAGGGCTTCCAAACTGAGATTAACAGCTTGTGGCTGGAGACAGGCGGTTGGTGGTCCCTGTCGTGTTTCTTAGAGCAATGATAACGCAAATAAGCAACCAGACGCGACCTAGTCTTGGGGGATGCACAGGATATTGTGAAGCGTTGCAGCTTTTAGCAATGCACTCCCCGCTATTCGCGATGTGAGCGCATTTGAATTTACATTGCATTTCAGACTCACATTTGACCGTAGCTCACCAGGCCAGCCGCACTTAAGAGTATGTTGTAGTGTATGTTGTAGTGTATGTTGCAGTGTATGTTGTGTATGTGTGCAGTGTATGTTGGCGCCCGGGTGGCCAGTTGAATGTCATTCGCTCGGATTATAGATGCATAACATCCTCTAAAACTCCGCTGTTGCATCTGACTGAGTGACTAATTAGAAATTGTCTTTTCTGAGTCCATGGCCTGACTTTGATCTGTCGTAGGTCAGCGACCTTGAAAGTTACATCTAAATTCGTGATACCAAAATATTTGCTGTTTAATTGTCTACAACTATGCAGAATTTGGCGTGAATGCGCGGCACCGTTCGGAAATAAGTCCGTAAAAACCTTCAAGGTAGTGGGGCGGGGGTCAAGTTGACCCGCCACCCGTGCGCGTGTCAAGGCACTTTGGACACTGCCCCTGTACTTTGCCAGGTTTGAGAGCCCACTTCAGTACCTTTTTAAAACTATTCGATTACCTGAGATCAAGATGTGATTTCGCTTATTACGATACGTTCCGAAAGATTTCTTATCATCACCTTATGCAAATCGGATTCACCACATAAAAAACGTTAAAATTGGCTCTAAATTTGTTTTATGATAACATATGTACCCAGCTACTGACTAACTACGCACCGGTAACTTGGGCACAAAAGCCCAGCCAAGGCCAAGGCTTTTGTCTCTCAATATTAACTTGGCCCAAGGTGCCGCCAACGTTTTAGCCAAATATCTATGTATATATATATATATATATATATATATATATATATATATATATGTGTGTGTGTATAAACATGTGTATACATATAAATATAACATTTTAGGCATTTATTGAATATCACTATATGCATGTCAGATTTCCGAATGCCAATGCTTGTGGCGTCGATGTTAGTGGGCGGGATACGCAAAGAACAATTCTGAACGCCAAATGATAGTCTGAGCAGCCCGCCGGCAGGCCTCACCTGGTATGACCGCACAAGAGCCACTCAACACCGCTGTTACGTAAGCAGGAGAACCTTGGCTGACTTCCAGCCGCAACGGGCGTGATTGTCACGCTTGGTGCTCGCGCGGAGCCTCTGCAGATAAACGTCCCGCGGATGACAGTGCATTCGTCGACGATCTAAGTAGTCTGCTACCACCGGCGTGCTCTTGGTGTCGGCTTTTAAGTCAGCTCAGCGTGTGAGCAAAGGCAAATAGCGGTATGAGCGATGCGCCGCATCATCCATTAACCAAGCGGGGGAGCTTCGTCAGATAGCTGGTGACTTAAGACTATCTTGCTGGCGAACACTCGACGGGATCGATATGGCTTCTTCAACGGCGCCGCCCACTATACACCGTGCACTGTGCATGCACTCTGCATGCACTGTACATCTTATGAGTCGGTCGGGTTATGTCCAAGCGAAGTCCCACATGCTGAGCTCGATATCGATATTGTTTCTAGTCGCCGTCACCGCG